AATCCATAGACATGTCTTCAGTATGTGCAACGTCAGCACTTTTAATTCCACCTGAAGTCTGACAGTGGAAAGTTGAAATCCTCAGGAGATCAGACTGAAGCTTTGTTCTCCAGCTCCCAAAGCTCAGTGCAGCCCCGCCGTCTGGTGGGTTATCACCCAGCAGCTATGGCGCTCATTGAAAACAGATATATGTCCGCCCAGAGACTGATGTGTGGGAAGAAGCCGAACGGGACAGGAGAAGAATGATGTGAGGGTCTGCAGGTTGGAGCATAAAACTTAATGTTTTTCCTTCTGTGGGTGGGTGATGAAGCACGCCAGTGCTGTTGGTCTGACTCACACAAGCATTGCATGATTTTTTTTTGTTCTTCTTCTGTTTCTGGAAGAAAAACATAATGTGGGAACATACTAAACAGGACCAGCTAAGAAAAGATTCATTTGATTAAGGAGAGCCATTTTAAAAATGCTATTTCTTGCTGACTTTAGCTTACAAAGGTCAGATTCAAGTAATCTGGCTTTTGAAGAGGGCAAATGTTGAAAGATGATGGTAAGTTCCAAATTGTTTCTCTTTTTATTATTTGCTTTCAGGAAGAAAGCTGGGTAAGTTAGATGTAGAGAAAACACACTGCACTATTAGCAAACAAAACAAGAGTGCTGCACACGACACGTTATACGCCCGTCAACCAACTACTATACAGCAATACAGAAACTATGGCACTGGCCCGGACAAGCAAAGACCTTGTATAATTTTGACCTTGATTTGCGACCTTGACCGTAGAACTGGGGTGATGAATAGATTATGTGACACAAGTGGCAGTGCACATGTGTCATCCATCCATCCATTATATTCCACTTATTCTGAAGTTGGGTCGTGGGGGCAGCAGCTTGAGCATGGAGGTCCAGACATATCTTCCACAGGCACCTCTTCCAGCTCTTCTGGAAGGACACCAAGATGTTCCCAGGCCAACTGAAATGTCTCTCCAGCGTGTCCTTGGTCTTCTCCGGGGTCTCCTCCCAGTCGGACATGCTCAAAGAACCTTCCTAGGAAGGTACCCTGGGAGCATCCTTACCAGATGCCTGAACCACCTCAAGTGGCTCCTCTTGATGTGGAGGAGCAGCGGTTCTACTCTGAGTCTCTCCTGATAACTGAACTTCTCACCTTATCTCTAAGGGAGAGTTCAGCTACCCTGCAGAGGAAACTCATTCCAACCACCTGTATCTACAATCTCATTCTTTCAGTCACTACCAAGAGTTTGTGACCATAGATGAGAGTAAGAACGTAGACTGACCAGTAAACAGAGCTTTGCCACATGTGTATCAATTGTCATGAAATTATCTTGAGCAAATCTGAAGTTATGGTCTGGATAAGCAAAAGCCTCATTTTAACACTGACCCTTTATTTGTCACCTTGAAGCTGTGGTAATGAAAAGTGTATGCAACCCCCTGCAGTGGTACAAATGTGTGTCAAGTTTTGGTAAATCACCTTGAGTAGGTCAGAAGTTACGGCATGGAAAATAGAAAGTTTACACGTTCAGTCGAGTGACGGCTAATAAAAAAAGATTTAAAATATATATATATATATATATATACTGTCCTGATGTTTACATTAAAATTCATTCATTTTAACCAGACTTTAGATGTTTGAAAATTACTGCCAATTCCTAGCCATTAGCTGATGGATCTGGTCAGAGTTAAACACTGAGGTTGTTTATATAAGTGTACACATCAGGTAAGCTATTATTGTTTATAACTTGTCCACAGAACCCCACTTCCAAAAACCAGAATATTAATTATTCATCTTGGCCGTACTTGTAGACATTTCCCTTTGTCTTGTTAAATGATAAACTACCATCCTCTGTCCAACAGTCCCATGCACTGCTAATTGTAACATTCTACTCTCCTGATGCTCATTACTCATACAAGCAACACTCTTTGCAGCCCTCTGGTTCTTCCAGTGCTCGGAGACGTTTCCTGAACCGTGCAAATCTCTGTAAAATTGTGAAAGAGCCAAGAACAATCCGAACAATGCCCTGATAACATACTCTCCCTCCGCTGGCAGTGTCCCCGTCTCCTCTGTCTCATAAAAACTTTATGCAGCCAATCTCTTAAAACGGAAATGAAACGAGCCCATTTCACCAGCTGGAAGTCCAATATCTCTCCAGTAGCTTTATATGCAACATTAAAAAAATAGCTTCCACTTGGCAGAAAAGGGAAATCTTTGTTAATCTTTCAACAAAGCTTGCATGAATAAAAGGCTTAGCATTCCTTAAGAACAATGCATATCACCCACCACCTTTCGCGCCAGAGTTTTAGACCTAAATCATCTTTTGCTGAAAAGAGACAAAGTTATAGCTGATTTGGGAAAACCTTGTACTTGATGCACAATCTCATGTAAGTTTGTTAAATGTATTAGTACTCAGTGTATGTGCATGGAATGCACTTGTATAGCACCTTTTTTATCCAAACAGGATACTCAAAGTACTTTACTGCAGTGCTTTATTTTACCCATCCACACACATTCATATAGCTACAGAAAGCAAATCTAAATCAATCACTGTATAAACTGATCAGTGCTTTAGCTCTTTCATACACCAACGGGACACACTGTGGCGATAATGAGGGGTTCCATGTCTTGCCCAGGGGCATTTTAGCCACTTTTCCATCGTCAAGTACCACTCTAATTGCTTTGTTTTTATTTGGTTCTTCATAGGTGCAGGTGTGTCTCCATTGTAACTGGGTCCTCCACTCTGTGTGCAGGATCATCAGTGCAAAGAGTTGGCAGGGTCATCATCATATATATTCTGCTCGACAAATTGGGCCAATCAACAAATGCAGTTTGTTGACATCAAAATGGTCTACTTAGAGTGGTACGCTTGGAGCTACAGATGAGGTGGTACCATGAACTGAGAGGGAACAATCAATGGAGACACTTAAGTGGCATGGTGTCAAACTAAACTGAAGAACGTCAAAACCATGGAGAAGAGGTTTTTGACATGTGACAGCATACTGGTGGAATCAAACCCTCAACTCTCCCATATATATTTTTATTTAACATTTATTTATACAGGTAGTCTCTAGGGATGTGCGATATGGCATAAAATTCAAATCACGATATGTATTGTGAAGGGTGGCGATAAAGATATATATCACAATGAGTTTTTAGTATAAAACTTGCAATAGGAATGAAAAAAGCATAGGGTGTTCTTTTGCCATCATTTTATTTTGAAAACTGCTATACCACAATATAATCTCAATTAAGAAAATTCCACTACTACGTCCAGAGAGTTTTAAAATAAAAACCAAATCAAGTATTAGACTTCTTGCTTGTAGTGCAAAACAGTGCAAAATATATTAAATGTAGTTTTAGCCATACGTTTTAAACAAAATAATATGTTGTTAACTCTTAACAGTTTCCAGTATTCTCACTTAAGAAATGAACAACAACAGAGCAAAATTTTACATATAAAAAAGTGTACACTGAAAACACTTAACCCTCCAACCCTCTAGTGGGCGTCTCCTTCCGCTTTAAGGAGAGCTGACACAAAATGGCGACCAGTTTCCTCTGTGGCTTTGACCAGAGGGTCTCGCAGTAAACTCACACAACACAGCGTTCTTTCACAGATCAGAGAGCAAGTTTCTCTCAAGCTGACCAACGCTTACTTTAACTTTCGACGGAAAAAAAACAACAACTTTCGACAGAACACGGCGTGTTGCGCATGTGTCCGAATATGGCAAAACTACGGCAAGCCGGCCATAGTTAGCTTGTAGCTTCGCTACTTAGCTCTATAAGAAAAGACTTTAACACCACTTACGCACAGTTTTCAACTAAAAAAAGTAACAATTAAACTGACAACTCTGATTTTACATCAGACACTGCATTACTGCGGTTAGCCGGTAGAAGACAGATCTCTATTCTAGGCTACATCTCTATCGTTTCAACCGTGTACCGTATATATCACACATTCCTAGTAGTCTCATTGAGTCACACGGACTCATTTTCAAGGGAGACCTGTTTGGGAGCAGATGGTGGAGGTTAAGGGCCTTACTAAAGTACTCAGAGTGGGGCAAATGAGGGCGTAGGCAGGTGCGGATGTTTCACCCCCTCCCCCCAACACACACACACGTTTTGATGTTATTGGTTCGGGGAGTTGAACTAGCGATCTTCCGACCACAGGCCCACCTTCTCTAACCACTGCTCCACCACGCCCCTGTGGTGTCAAGTGATCCTCATTGGAGGACGAATGCCCCAAACACTCAGCCACAGTTGCCCCTCAGTCATGGGGATGACTCTCAGCTAATCTAAGCTACTACCACACCACATTTTAGCGTAATATCTATACAATTAATTAAATTATATATATACTGTATATATATTGTTTTTGTGTGTGTGTGTGTGTGTGTGTGTGTGTGTGTGTGTGTGTGTGTGTTGGCTGATTTAGATTTCATGTAGTGGCTATCTTGAATTGGGTTGACTCCAAAAGTTATTCAGTTGTAGATGTACAGCCAACAATTAATTCCAGAGAGTTCAATTTAGACCTCTCCATTAGTTCATGGGATATTTTGCTAACAATAGAGACAAATGGAACACTCACAGACCCGGGCAAATATTATCGTCCCATAATGCCTTCAGAGACAAACAATAATAATGTAAGGAAAGTTTCCTGAGTCATTCTTCAGCAATTCTATTTCAATACATTTCCTTAAATCAGCTATTGTTAGATGATGACAGATACGCTGCTATCATTTTACAGCCATATTTATAATGGAAAAAGCTGGAAAAAACATTTAAATTCAGTTAAATTTCACTGTACATATTTTGTTTTTTATGAAACAAATTCAAGTGTGCACAGTTCAATGATCACACAGATAAATGAAACAAGCTTCCAACACATAAAAGCAGCTGATTTACTCTTTTAAAGCCTCTTTCTCTGGGCTTCTGACAAACAAAATACGACTTCTTAAGAGTATCACTGCAAGAGAGAAAACAGAAAAAACAGACTCACCTCTCTCGCAGGTGCTGTCCCAGAAGCCGGTCCCAGTGCAGTCGCAGATGAAGCGGTTCCAACCCTCCTTGCACACCCCGCTGTTCTTACAGGGGCTGCTGTCACACTGCTTCCCCACCGCCTTGCTGCACGACGACTTGATGCCGGTCACATTCTGAGACTGAGCTATCTGCCTGATGTCCTTGCTGCGCCCGTCAATAAACAGATCCCGAACGCAGCCCACGTAGCCGTAGTCCAACATCGCGGTCCATAGCTCGGTGGGGAGCACCAAAGCCACCCGGCTATCGGGCAGACCGCCCAAATAAAGGTCTCCTTCCAGGTCCAAGATCTCATTTTCCCCGCTGGCGGTGAAAGGTGTCCTGCGGCTGTTTACTGAAATGATGCCTGGAGGGAGAAAAAAGAAAGCAATTATTACCAAATACCAAACTACAGAAAATGTACTCGTCGACATGTCAATAAGTGGAAAAAAGACGTGAGTGAAATATGATGTGGTTTGTGTTTTTTGATTGATTTTGTTTTTTTCCTGATGCAATATACAGTATGTTGCTCACTGCTGAAGATTTGCTTTTGATGAATTCTTGAAATAAATGTTTTTTTTTTACTTCTGTTAGAGAACCTGGAGCCTAATGGTTCAGTGTCTGATCATTAAACAGAGGATAGATGAGCAAATGATGCACGTTTTAACAAAGAGAGATTAGTCAGACTGTAGAAAAGAGCTCTTTAGTTAGCAGCTTTATGTAACCTACCACAAGTTAGCACTGGTAATTACCTAAGACCATTTCATCATCTCCTCAGGGAGATGTGTTATAGATGTTTTGGTCAAACAATTTAACTGATATTAAGAGCAAAAAACTTTGCTAATTAAACAAACACTTCCACAGACGTGCAAACTCTTTACATGAAGGTAGTGGGCGATAAATAGTTCTGAAATAACAGTATATAAAGATAAAGCTGACCTCGGCTAAATCATACATTTATTAACAAACAAAGTCCATGCTCAATAATCCAGGTATACAATCCAACAATTTTCCGTCAGGTCATCTGAACAGTTTTTTTTTTTGTGCTGAAATGTTTCACCTTCCATCTATATATATATATATTATTTATTTAAATGTCATATACCATTTTCAAAAGCTGCAAAATTCAGATTGTCATCTCATGTACTTTTATTGAAGAATGAAAGATAAAAGATGCATCTTTATAAATCTGGCATAACTGTCACAAAACTTACAGCGTACCTGCATTTACTGGAACATGTATAAACACGCTACATACGACGGAGCTTGTTGAAAACAGTGTGACCACTCAGACAGGGATGTGTGGGACGAAGCAGGACAGGACAGCAGGAGAATGGTTGAAGGTATGAAGGGTTTGGAGCATAAAACTTAATGTTTTTCCTTCTGTGGTTGGGAGATGAAGTGAGTATTGTTTGTCTGAGCCACACAAGAATTACAGGATTATTACCGTACTTTCTACCATACACGCTGCACCGCCGTATAAGTTGCATCAGTCCAAACATGTCTAATAAAGTGAAAAAAAACATAAATACGTTGCTTCACCATTTATGTCGCATCTATTATGCGTCACCACTGACTGATTGACCCGGAAACGTGGTCCGTGTTGTGCCAAAAATTGATTGGCTGCCAATTGGTGACCGCAGGAGCGTGCACAGGAGTTTAACAAGAATTTAACAAGATTAACACTTTAAAAAATATATTTGTTTGTTCGACATTATAGTAAAAGTGTGTCTCTGTTGAACTTTTCCTTAATAAATGCACTTTAATGGTCAAATCAGCTGCATTTCTCCTGGGCGGTGCGGAAAAATGCAGATGATTTGACGTTTGCTCCAGGAGTTCTGGAGCGAGACGAAGGTGGCTTGATATGGCAAGCCAAGTGTGTCTTTAATATCCACTTTTACCTATTAATGAGACACTTGGCTTGCCATATTAGTCGAGCACCCTCTAGCAGCTGAAAATGGTAGTGTTCAATATTTTCTATGTCAGAATGAAAGAAACTGTCAGATCTCAGCCAAAAATTGGATTATAAATATGGGGGAAACATATATTAGTCGCTTTGGTGTATAAGTCGCAGGACTTGCAAATTTATACAAGACAGTGTGACTTATACGGCAAAAAATATGGTGTTATTATTTTTTATTTTATTTTTTTTCATTTAGCCTTTATTTATCCAGGTTAGTCTCATTGAGCCGCGAGAACTCATTTTCAAGAGAGACCTGTTTAGGGAGCACATGGTGGGGGTTAAGGGCCTTGCTCATGGGCCCAGAGTGGGGCGAATGAGGGTGGGGACAAGTGTGGGTGTTTCACCTACCCCACCCACAATTTTTATGTTGTCGGGGCCGGGGCGTGAACCGGCGATCTTCGGATCACAGGCCCACCTCTCTAACCTCTGTGCCACCACTCCCATGTTATTCTTTTATTTCTAGAACCAAATCATCATGTAAGAACACACTAAAGTAAGGCTGCTAAGAAAAGATTTTGATTATACAGAGCCATTTTCTGAAACACTTTTTTTTCTGACTCAAGCTTACAAAGGTCATATTTAAATACACCACAGAGAAAATACTTCAGCTAAAGCAGATGTGAGCAACGTACAGCCTGACGGCCAAAAGAGGCCCTTGGACAATCTCCATCTGACCACGAAAACTCTTAATTGAAAACAAAACTTTTTTTTATTTTTAAGTTTATGAAAACATTTATGAATGAAACTTAAAGGGGTTTAAATTAAACATCTTGGATCAATACATAAAAACTTTTAGAACAAGTTAATTTTTAAGTTGTGTTTCTAGAACTACAGTAGACTGAACCTTAAAGACTTCAAAAGTCAAATATATAACTTTTTTTTTTTACCACATATTTAGGCTTATTGTCACAAGAGCCGTTTTATAGAAATTATATATTATATTTCTACTGTGTATTTTAGGGATACATTTTTATTGAAAATGCTAACTATGCTACAACAAGAAAAAGCCTGACATTATTTATTTAATTATTGTTATTATTATTTTTTTTAAAGATTTTGTGTCATGATAAAACATTATTTTGCAAATCTATAAGCGGCCCTTCCATTGCTTTAAATATTTTGATTTGGCCCTTTGTAAAAAACAGTTGCCCACCCCTGAGTTAAAGAGACCTTCTGGGATTTTGAAGTGGGGCTCGGTGGAAAAACTTTAAAACTCTAGTATGCCATCAGTTGTAGATAGTTCTTTGAAAAAAATTCAGTTTGAAAAAATAAAGTTTAAAACAGACCGGACCGACAGGCTAACAGCTAGTCTAAATGCAGCTAAGACCAATGTGGTTTGCTGACAGCAATGAAAAAGTTTAAATTTAACATACTGACCAGTTATTAACGTGACTTCAGAACCAGGCCACTGCTGATTTGAAACTCCAATCTACAAATTTCATCAATGCTTTACATTTCTGTACCCTTTTAAACACTAATTCATTTGGCAGAAATATTATGAAACTGCTGCTACAATACTCTTGGCTTGAAGTGCTACAGCTAGCTGATGCTGCCACTAAGGCTTGTAAATAACCACTAAAGTGTGCTATGAGATTGTGTACTGATGCCTAAAAAAGCTGTAAGGTGAACCACTATGACATAGTTTGAGATTGAAGCTGTTTCAAAATGTCATAAGTTTTGGTCTTCACCCCACACAGAGTAGCTGTTTATATGGACATTTAACATTTCAGTCATTTCGGGGGCCGAGATGGGTGGAGGCAGCCGACTTGGGACCAGAAATTTGCGGATCGACTCCCAGCCAAACCCGCATGTTGTGGTGTCTCTGAGCAAGGCATCTAATCCCTCATTTCTCCCTGGGGGCTTCCATAGCTGCCCACTGCTCCACCTGAGTGTATCTCACATGTGATGGGTTAAATGCAGAGAACTAATTTCATCACTGTATGGGAACATACAGTGATGACAATCTCAGACATCCCTTCCCTTCTTCTCTTAAGTCCAGGCACTTTTTGAATTCATAGATAGAGTTAAACAGAGGAAATTACCTATTTTTTACAATATAATTCATAACTAGCTTGTATAAAAGCTGTGAAATACTAGTATCACATTCCAGTCACCTTGCAACCAGGCAGAAACCCAAGCTAGAGCTCTTTGTGGATGTAAAATTTAATTCACTCAAACCTCTTATTAACATTTCACCAAAGCCACAAGTGTGATTATGTCCGTTTCTTAACCATCTTTCAGTCTGGGATCTATTTATCTGTCTCATTCCTCTTTTTCCCTGCAAAAAAATCCAACTTTCCGCTCGGCTATCGCACTCGGGAGCTGTGCCGGTGATTAATCAAAGCAGCGAGCTCTGACACACGGCTAAATTGGCTGCTCTAACCTGATATATAACATGGGGCTGTAACGCCGGCTAACACAGTCATGTTCTCTGGAGGATCCCACCTCATGCACAGATTGTATTGGGTTTGGAGCTTAAGGCAAAAGAAGTGTTTAACCCCTTTTACTAGTATAATCTTTTCCTAGTACTTTCTGTGCATTTGGTCATATTTTTGAAGTTAGAGGACATAAAAACAGCATAAATATGGAGAGGAATATAACTATCTAGGCAATAAATCATTGTTGAAATGACTATATTAAGTACCAAAGTCCATGCTCAATAATCCAGGTAGAAAATCCAACAAAGTTAAATCAGGTCCTCTGGATGGTTTATTTGTGTTGAAACATGTCGTCCTTCATCCAAATGACTTCATCAGTCCAAGGAGCCACAACAATCTCAGTAGCATATTTGCATAGTGGCCAAACCAGTTTGATGGTGATGAAATAGTTTCTGGAGTCTGCCCTCTCCCCCAACGACTCGTCTGAGGCAGCTATGGCCAAAGTGGTTCCAAACATCAAAGTTCATGCTCAATAATCCAGGTAGAAAATCCTGGACTGATGAAGTCTTTTGGATGAAATATGAAATGGTTCTCAACAAAAAGAAACCATCCAGAGGCCCTGACATAACTTTGTTGGACTCGATTAAATATTTTCCCATTAACCTGTATGGTTATAATGCAGAATGCTATATAAAGAAAAAAGTAACACAGTAAACACAGCTGCCTTCTTATATCTTGTATCTTATTCTTCACTCTGCTACCTCTTCTTGGAACTTGCTACAAGAAACTCTGAGATTGACTGAAGTCATCTCACTCAGTGTTTTTACATCCAAACTAAAAGTTATTGAGAACAATTCAATGACATGTACCTGTTTTTATAGCTAGCTTGTTTTATAGTAACTGTTTTTTATAGCTTGACATTTTTTTAACTGTGTAATTTCTTTGGTGTTGTATTTGCTAAGACCTTTTGGCCAGGGCTCCCTTGAAAAAGAGGTTTTTAATCTTAATGGATTTTTTATCCAGGTG